CTCAGGTCATGATCCTGGAGTCCCGGGATCGAGTCCCGCATCGGGCTCCCTGCTCGGCGGGGAGTCTGCTTCTCCCTCGGACCCTCCTCCCTCTCATGCTCTCTGTCTCTCATTCTCTCTCTGTCAAATAAATAAATAAAATCTTTAAAAAAAAAAAAAAGAAATGCCACTTTAATCTTTTTTTTAAAGATTTTATTTATTTATTTGACAGAGAGAGGCACAGTGAAAGAGGGAACACAAGCAGGGGGAGTGGGAAAGGGAGAAGCAGGCTTCCCGCGGAGCAGGGAGCCCGATGCGGGGCTGGATTCCAGGACCCTGGGATCACGACCGAGCCGAAGGCAGACGCCTAATGACTGAGCCACCCAGGCGCCCCAAGAAATGCCACTTTAATCTTAATAAAAGAAAAACATACAAAGGTTTTACTAAGGAGTGACATTTCAGGATAAAAAGACCGTATCTTCTGAAACGATATTTCTGTTCAGACCCTGCCGCTAGTTTCATGCTCATTTCAAAATGTAATTGACCAGTGTCATAATCAGTTTTTCTTTGGTGGCAAAGCAAAAAAAAAAAAAAAAGACACTCATTGCTCCAGTATCCCATCTCTCCTCAGAGACAGATGTAGAAAACCACTGTTATCTGAGTTTCACCTTATTCATCATTGAAATGAGGGTTTAAATTAAAATAATAGTGTTAATGTGTATTTTTGTGAGTCCCAGGGTGTCTGGGGGGCTATATAAAAGCCTCATGCCTTGGGAACCAGGAATGAGCACAGGAGATTCTGGGTTATTTAACCCCTGCTCCCTTCAGATAAGCTCTGCGTTTACCCCTTCATATACTGGGGTTACGTAATGCAATGTCTGACACATAGTATTGGTTTTTTGTGGTTTTTAAAATTTTTTTTTAAGATTTTATTTATTCATTTTGAGAGAGAGCGCACGAATGAGAGAGCACAAGCAGGGGGAGCGGCAGGCAGAGGGAGAGGGAGAAGCAGGCTCCCCAATGAGCAGAGAGCCCGATGTGGGGCTCGATCCCAGGACCCCGAGATTATGACCTGAGCCGAAGGCAGATGCTTAACTGACTGAGCCACCCAGATGCCCCAAGTATTGTTTTTTTAAATAAGATCTTCCTTAAAAAAGGAATTCTGCTATTAAAGATGGGGGTTTTTTGAAAGCCACTATATCAGAGCGATGGGTTCAAAGGCCCTTCCCACTTTGATTCTGTGACCCTACAGAAGCAGGCAGTACATCAAGGGGCAGTAGATCAGTGAAAAAGCATCAATAGCACCAGGGAGTAGTTAAGAACTTCGAAGATGCTATTTGGACCAAAAAATCAGGTGGGAAACAGCTACCTTGGGAACAAATCATGATTATATCTTCTATTTACTGAGTTCCCGGTATATACCAAGGTTCTGCTATATTATTGCTAATCTTTATTAAAATTTTATTTTTTAAGTAATCTCTACACCCAACATGGGGCTCGAACTTACAACCCGGAGACGAAGAGTTGCATGCTCTACTGACTCAACCAGCCAGGGGGCCCCTATATTACCGCTAATCTTTTTTTTTTTTTCTTATAACAATTCCACACAGTAGGTATTATTACCCCTACTCTTGCAGTGGAGCAAACTATATCTCAAAGAAGGACTTATTCAAGTTTACCCAAGTAATAAATAATAGGGCCAGAATTTGAACCCAGGTATCTGATGCCAAAGCCTATACTTTTCCATTTTGAGGAAATAAAGACTGCCCTGCAAAGAGTAGTAGAAATATCAATATACTGCCATTAAACAACAAGAGTTCCTTAATTCTATGATGCAAGTGAACCACTGAAATACTGTTGCACAATACTTCTATTCTTTTCCATACTGCTTCTCTGTAATTCCATTAATCTGATGTCTGATGGATACTTCCCATAAAAGATTTTCTTAGGTGGTGACAGTGATATTGTGGTTATGTACAAGAATATTTTATTCTTAGGAGATGCATGCTGAAATATTAAGGATAACATGTCACAATGTCTGCGACTTACTTTTAATGGTTCAGCAAAAGCATACATACACACATGCACATGTCCCAACACCAGGAAAGGGAGAAGCAATGCAAGGTTAAGAAAAGGTACCTGGAGGGGTGCCTGGGTGGCTCAGTTGGTTAAGCGACTGCCTTCGGCTCAGGTCATGATCCTGGAGTCCCGGGATCGAGTCC